AGTGTGCTTATAGAAGATTCAGCAAAAATTGATGCATCGTTATCCCTACCATATGTTCCTATATCCACCATAGTAAAAGTATAATTTGAATCACATACAGCTAAGAGAACCATACTGTGAAAATTCTTGTAATTGTAGTATGCTGAACCTGCATCTTTGGGACATTCAATACAAACATGCTTCCCATCTGTAGCCCCCACACACGTTGGAAAATTCCATTCAACATGAAAGCCCTTGGCTATGTTTTTCCAATCCTCAAGACTAGCAGGGGCTTTGAGGTATTTAGAACACAAGGCAGTCCATATGGCATCACATGTTTCATGTATTATTTTACATACAGTTGAGCGAACAATCCGAAAACTAAATGACTGTGTCTGTTGAGAATCACCAGTTGCTAGATAACGTAAGCAGACAGCTAATCTTTCTCAAGCTGATATGACACGTCTTGAACGACAAGATTTCCTCTGAATGTATGGTCCAAAAATTGACAGCAAATCATCAAATAGCCTTGGTGTCATTCTTATAAATCTGAATAAAAGATATGACACACAACACAAAAATACAACACACATTTACCTAAAAAAATACTCTGTATCACTAAGTCTTAATTGTGAAAGAAGAGTATTATAAAAACCAAGTCTTTCCCTCTTTCTAAAAATTTTCCTAACCCATAATCGATGCACCCTTTTCTTTCTCATTAAATGAGTTCTAGACACCACCAAAACCATAAGTAAATAACCCAGCAGCATCAATGTAGTGAAATCCGCCATTTTGATTCATGGTTATTAAGACTTGTTATTAATCTAAGTATGACATGCCCACGATTGTTGTGCAACATTAATTGTACAACAAATACAATCATATGGGAACCAGCCTTAAAGTACTTTTCGCAGATTGTCCTAAGTGACCAGCCTTCACGCTTGCTTTAGAGTCTTGACAAACCTCTCAACCTGTCCATTAGTAGCTAGATGATAGACAGCTGATCTATAGTGCTTCACACCCAACAGACTCAGAAACTCGGCAAATTCGGATGACCAGAACTGAAGATATTATCACTCACTATCTGCTCTGGCAGACCATTCTTGCTAAAGAGCTGCTGCATCACCTCAATCGTCTTAGCAGAGGATGCCGAACCCATCTGCCTCACCTCAGGCCACTTTGAATAAGCATCCACTACCACCAAGTATGTTTTATCAAATAGTGGCCCTGCAAAGTCTATATGCAATCTATACGAAGGCCTAGATGGCCAAACCTATGGATGCAATGGTACTTTGGGATGGATCAGACTTAACTTGGATACATGGACGGCAAGCTTTAGCAAGTTTCTCAATGTCACCGCAGATATGTAACTGACCATCCTTCTTTGGTACCACCACAATTGGGGCTGCCCATTCACTGGAGTTCACAGGCTCTAGAATTCCTTCCCACACTAGCCTTTGTATTTCCTTCTCCGCACTGTCCTTCAAGGCGAAAGGAATAGTCCTCGGCCTATGATATCGTGGTGAGGTTCCCTCTTTCAGATGACGTGTGGCGTGATGATGCTTGAAGGTACCCAACTGATCAATAAAAACTTCAGGGAATTCTTTCAAAAGGCTATCACAGAGGCTCTTTACTCTGGTGTGAGCTCCTTACACTGGTGTGAGCTCTTTACTCTGCTGTGAGCTATCCTTGGCCAAACTAATTGATTGTGTTGTAAAAAATCCCGTCGTAATAAAGAGGGGCCCTGGCCGGTTACAATATATATATAGGACTCAACACATTGGGAACGGTACTCGACTACTACCAGGCATTTGCCCAGCAGCTTTAACTTCTCATTAGCATAAATGTGTAAATGCAGATCGGTTGCTTCCAGCGTGAGCAAAAATAGATACTTCTTATAGACAGCCTGTCACACCATAGAAACAGCAGCTCCAATGTCCACTTCCATCTGTACAGCATGGCCATTCATGTTCATATTGTCACTACTATTGGTGGTAGAGTATTGCATACAGCTTAAACATTCCCATATCTTCAGAGGAGTCTTCATCATCAGTTCTTGATGTGGCATCAGGCTCTGTGTCAGCTAGCTTCCTCACTGGAGCAGACCTTGAAGCTGGCTGAGGCCATTTAGACTTCTTAACTGCTGTTGAGCGACACAACTTGAATATGTCTCCTTTTTCCACAAGGTTGACAAGTTGCACCTTGGAACCGACATTCTCTATCAGTATGACCATCTCTGCCACAGCAAAAGCAGGCCAGGGACTTTGACTGCACATTCAATACAGGACCATCTTTGCTGGCATTCAGCTCGCAAACATCTATCTTGACAGTTTCCATGGCACTGGCTACTTCCACTGCTAACTTAAAAGTTATCTTTTCGTCCTCAGCTCGGTCCTCTCCAGACAACAACTTTTGTTGAGCAGCAGTGTTCCTTAGCCCACAGACAAATCGATCTTGGAGAGCCTGTTCCAGAAAATTACCAAAATTACAGTGGACAGCTAAGCGTCACAGCTCTCCAGCATACTGAGCTGCTGATTTGCTCTCTCCTTTGATTACAGTTGTAGTACTTAAACAGTTCAGCAATAGTCACCCTCTTCTGAGTAAGGAGTGTTCTCAAGGTCCACAGCAGCTCATGAACTGACTGATCAGAGGGTTTTTTGGAGCTACAATGGTAGTAATCAGTGCAAAGTTTGTAGCACCAATGACGCTCAGAAAAACAGGTACTCCTCTCTTTAGGTATGTCATTGGCTTCAAGGAACATTCGAATTTGCTATTCATACGTTTCAATAGACTCTGTATCTTGTTGGAACTTAGCAATCTGTCCTACAGTAAATGCCATATCACACCCTCGTCGCCAGTGTAGTGTATTAGTAGCAACAAATATAAAACTGGCAATAGCCAAGAGATTGTTTTCCAAAATAATTTTATAGATAAAAATACAACTCATCAATAACCAATAATAGTTAATTAGCTATGCACCAACACAATTTAACCATGGTCACAGCAATAATAATAAATGACTTAAGATATAGAACACAAACAACTATAAAATATTGCATACATTACAACCGGAAGTTGTGGTGACTGCTGGTGAGATCTGAGTATGGAAGGATATGTGGCACTGAAGCAGACTTTCACCTCCAGTGATGACAGGAGGGAGGTAATGCCCTTGTGTATTGTTACTGTAAGTCATATATAGACAAAAGTCTGACTAATAACAATATGTAATAGGAACAGAGAAGGCAGTAGTCGCGGTACCCAAATCTGTCAGGCTCCTGTACACAGACTTCCACCCGCCCAACAATAAAATAATTAATCAATGGTTATCATGTTTGTAAACTTGGTTTTTCCATTATACATTTAACTCCTTTTCATAATATGTACAAACTTGTATAACTTGTGTGGCTCACAACATTAACCTACATATCATAAGTGATGTATATATATAATCAAAAATCTTACCTCAACACTTCAATGTTTACAAAGTGTAGCAAGAAACAAAGACATCAATAACAGTCGCAAGAACACTTCAATAGTCTTCCTGTTCATCATCTATCTCATCTATCCCATCGCCATCCAGAAAAATGTCTTCATCATCAAGAAACTCACTAATTGACACTTCTTCAACTGGTTCATTAGGACTAGAGTGGATTTAAAATTACAGTAAAGGATAGGCATAATTTAATTAAATTGCCTTATGTCTCCTTGATTATTCTGCAAATATACCTTTCACACCTTATTAGCAAACTGGTATGTCTTCTTAACTAACACTTTGAATAGTGTACGCCTATCTTGTCTTCGAATGTCAAAGATATACCGCTCACTCGTATCTGGTCTTTTGACACTTTCGTTCTATGAATATTAATTTTAAAACGGTATTAGTGAACATCAGTCTTACCCAATCCATAATTGCTACATTAATTCTCATTCTGAAGGTTTTAGTACCAAAATAAATCTTTTTAGGGAGATAAGTGAGTATATGATGATTACAAGACTCCACCCAAAATGTATCCTAACACTGTAAAACATTATAAAGTAATGTAGTCTAATACTTAACGAACAGTATGATTCAGCATTTTCATACACCAATGTTTGCTTCAACTTTCTAGTGTATGCTTCCACTGCATCGGGTCAGTTATACACTTCTTTGATGGTGCATACCCAGGACATCTATAGCTAAATGACTGATTACAGCTGGAATGTTTACCCAATAACATACATACATATATGAATGTACCAGTACTACAAATATCTAACTTGATAATGATCAACAATATTTGTGATTGAGTTTTGCAGATGCTCTGGAGACTTATTGTAGGTCTTCATACTGTAGTACAGATGTTCTTTGCCCTCTTTCCTACAATACATGTACATGTAATCATATTGTTTTCCATTGTCCCTTACTCTTATCTGACAGTTCTAGATACCAAGTTATACCTGCCCTGTTTTTGCTCCAGTTGCTATAGATGTCATTGCTTTTGCTACATTTTTAACCCTACACATAGAAAAAATGTAAAACTAGCTACTACCATGCCATGTGTCATAAAAAAATTTTAACTGTAACTCTTAAAAATATATGATGTTACAGGAGGTGAATTGTAACATTCAATCCTATTTTCAGATTTGATTAAACAATTCATTTACTTTTTCAGTACCTTTTGACATTACTAATGGCAATACTTCACTTCTTCAGTACCTTTTGACATTACTAATGGCAATACTTTCGTAGTACATGCCAGCTCCCTCATGTGCACAAGTGTGCTCTTTTCTAGCAAGTGTCACATAGCCAACAATCTTGTAGATACTAAAAATTGATGTACGAAGTGAAGTGAAATACACTACAAATGCAAGTACCGTACCTTCCAGAAAGACACGGCACAATTGTACGGTATGCATTAGCAGTATGCCTAGCATCATTGACGATCCACTACATATCAATAATAATAGTCATTAACTATTATTAATATACTGTACTTTATTAGATGAATTGCCTTCATCACTGACGCCTTAGCATAACTTTCAAAAGAATGAACACATTTACAGTGCTACCAATCTAAAGTAATGGTGCTACTGTATTAGGAGCATTCGAGCACAAGTAAATACTACCCATTCATGCAATTTGTGATTATTTTGTGCTGCTTCAAACTGTTTGCTGTCATCATTTTTCTATTTTTACTAGCTCTTTTCAAAACTAACCAATCTTTTTGTTTTCTTTCTTGCAGTTTTTTGTGATGGCAATATCTCGTTAAAAATGAACCGCCCTAAGAAAAAATTCCGGGGAACAATTTTTGAACACAAATTTTCGGACCCCCTTAAAATTTAAGTTCTGCCCAAATAGCCCTGCACCGCTTGCACTTTAAAGTGCAGCTGTCATCAATCTACATGCTGGAGGCTCTAGTCCTGGCTTTAATGTAGCTGGTTCTATGTCTAATGATTCTTTATTAGACCTTGCTATTTACCATGTGCTACACAATAATTCTAATGACCAATGTGGGTGGGATCTCACAACAGAAAAGAAAGAGCAGTTTAAAAAAGAGCTGCTAACCTCATTGTTGAAAGAGGAGAGGTGTACTTTATGAAAAAAATAAGAAGGTTCGTTAATGATTATTTTTCCTATAATATTTTTACCACTTACTGAGATAAGAGTAATTAGAAGTAAGAAAGATCAGCAGCAAGTATTAGTTGTATGCCACAGTGAAGCAACATCAGGTCATTTTGGCATATGCAAAACCTAGAATGTATCAGTGAGTGGTTTTACTGGAAAGGAATGCTAGCAGATGTAGGAGATTTGGTGAGTGACTAAATACACAATGTACACATGCATGCCAATTGTATTAATTGGACCTTTTATGAAGTAGTTCAATTAGACCAATAACATAGAAATTATCATTAATACCATTTGCCATTAATATGATGGTATTTATACATGTTTAGGTAAACCATTGTCCTTAATGCCAGTGTATAAATTGTAAAATAGTTGCAGAGAGGCCTCACCTAAACCCAGTGCCTGTTAAATCTTCATGGTACCAAATTGGAATTGATTTCATTGGTCCAACTTCTCCAACATCATCTAAAGGCAACTGGTACATAATGACAGTGTCTGATTACTTTACAAAGTTTGCCTTTGCTCTTGCATTACCTATCAAGGAAGCTTTACCGACTATAGCTATGGTACATCAGGCAAGAATTATATTCTTTTATTTTTAAAATTACATCCATTATAGTTGTTCGATATAATGGGACTTCCTTCAGTAATCATTACAGATCAAGGAAGATAGTTTCATAATCAATTCATTGCTGAATTGATGTCAGTTTTTGGTATCAAACACAGAATGACAACCCCATCTCATCCTCAAGCTCTTGGGCTTGATGAGTGATACAACCAAACTCTTATAAACTCTATCAAAATATACCGTGATCAATGGGATGAAAAGCTATGTGAGGTGGTTTATGCACAGCTATTCAGGAGGCGACGAATTATTCACGTTTTGAAGTGATGTTTGGCAGAAAAGTTAAATTACCAATAGACTTCAGTTATAAGAATCATTATTCCCCGGAAAAGTTGCTTCAAGAATATGAAGATGCATTCATGAAGTCAATAACAGAAGTGCAGACTAGAAAATTTGAGTTGAAGGCAACTGTCAAGAGTCAGCTCAGGTAAGTTAAATTAAAGTTATCATACATGTACAATGTACTTGTACAGCTATATACAGTGGAAACTCTGATAATTAAAATTCCCTTTAACAAAACTTTTATGCATGTACAATCTATTAAAAAGTTTATTAATGTTCATGTACCAGTTTTATTCACTATTAGTCATAAAATTTAATGCAATGAGTTTTGTTAATTAGATGTTATGACTCTACTTAAGTACTTATGCTAAGCAGAAGTCTTATTATGATAGGAAGCACAAATATGCAGCATGCTTTACCATTGGCTCAAATGTCATCATGAAGGACTTTAGAAGAAAAGAAGGGATGGAAAGCTTGATAATCATTGGAAAGGACAATTTGTAATTTCCAAAAAATTAGGGAAAGGTTTGTTTTAACTTCGTGAATTACATGGGGATAAAGTGAAGTATACTATAGTCTAGTTAGATATATTTTTATTATGGGTAAATTAGTTGGGTACACTAAGTTTACATACATGTTGTAGCTTAAATTGTGCTGTCAATATAGCCATACTCACTTTAAGGTAACAAGTGCAGTGTACTTGTATCCATAAACAGGTTGTCAGAAGAGTAAATGGAGTTCACTGAAAGAAGTTCAATGAGCCACCTACAGTCAAAGATGCTACTAAAAGCCCATAATGATTAGTATGTCGCATAACCATGCCATTATTTTGACAGACTCAAAGTATTGTAACTGACTTAAGTTCTACAGTTTTATCAGTGTCAGAAAATGCTGAGGTATTTGATGTGGCTACTATATATCAAAAACAAAGACTACTATAAAAAAATTAAGCTTGAGGCCGAGGATTATACTAGCTAGCTTCCTAGTTGCAGTGACACTTACTCTAGCATGCTTGCAGCTCCGGGCTCCAGCAACTCCAAGCTTGGAGATGTGGCATTAATTATCAATAATGCAGCTAGAGAGAAGCATCTTCATGTTTTTCTCTTCTATGCGCAATTATGATGGTTATAATGGCAAAAATACTTTTGCCTAGATTGATTGAGTGACTTATGAGAGTTTGGAATCCTTGGACTAGCAAACTGCTGCTTCGGCACTTCACTGAAGATGAAATTTGAATAGCTATAACTCACCAACAACGAAGATTTAAAGAGTCTCACACATGAAATGAATAACTAGTCTTGATATACTGGAAAAGAGTCTTATTTACTACCAGAGTACTACTGCTATTGCTTGGAATTATCTTGTGGTTTAAAAAGCCTGTTCTACATAAAGCTGCTCTCTAAACATCTCAAAGCAGTAAAGCAAGACTTTTCCTAACAAAAGAGAAGCTCTCACAGATTTAGAGCATGCGATTGTAAAGATATAAATTCTCAAAAACGAAATATAAAGCACCAAATGAATGACAGACAACCAAAGTACGTAGTCCTCGCCTACGCAAAGCTAGGCGAGGCCAATGAAGTAGAGGTGTTAATGAATATATGTATGCATGAATACGTAACATTCCTCCCCCTTTAGTCAACAGTTTGTATGAAGAATATAATGATATGACCACACAACTATTAAAAAGTAAATAAGTAATATTCACATTCTATAGTCTTTATTATTATTATTATTACTATTATTTTTTTTAATAATAATTAATAACAACAACAACAACAACTGTGATAAAGATAAAAATTGGACAGGACAGAATAGTAGAATAGCTTAGGAGAGAATAAGGGAAATATAGTGGAAGGTAAAGAATAGAGCCAAGAGTTTTTAAAGTTTACAAATAAAATAAAATATAAATTTTGCTAGTCAGTAAGGGACAAAGAAAATAAGATAATAAAATGTTAGATTATTCAGTGGGCCAAGCCTGACTCTGACATGACGAGGTCAACTGGGGCAGCCACATTCCTTGTATTTCTTATAAATCTGGAGCAATGACCACGTATACATTGTAATGAGGAACGTAGGAGGGCAAAAGATAAAGTGACTCTCATACAAGAAATTGTCTGATTTTATGAATGGCCAGATTTGATACTTGATAGTGAGGCCAGCCTCTTTAAGGAGGTCTTAGTACTTTTGCTTACACCACCAGTCACTGAAAGAACAAGAGGAACAAATGATGCATGTTTCACCTCACAAACCCTCTGTTCATATGCTCGTCTTTTCAAAGTTTCATGCTTCTGGTAAGGAGCAGTGATACTATCGAAACAGTTGGAAGGAGCGTATAATATCACAACCACCAATAGCAGAAGCACCCGACTGGGTCTCTGCGGTTATTGGTTGAAGTGGAGGCTCCACCCTCACTTCAGTACAGACCTCAGCTAACCATGATGCAAAAATATCTCTAACTTCATTGTGTCTGATGATGGAGTGGTCTATCCATATCTCAGCATCACAAAAATCACCCTTGTGTAATGTGAATCCAAACTCCTCCAGAGGGAGAGATTTAAGCCATGCAGATGCCACCTTTTCTCTAGCTGAGTCCATGGCCAGTGGTAGAGAGGGAGGGAGCTGATCACAAATAGTGGTA